CCAGGCTGCGGTCCATCTTGAGAGATATTGCAGGAAACGCAATTGATCGGTTAGGAAATGGTATTAGACCGGAAAGAATCGGATAATTCAGTCCTGGTCGCGTAGGTAAAGGATTGAAGGGAGATGAGGCGGATAGAGATCACTCTCATCAGCTCCAATGATCTGATCTGGGGAGGCATGTCACGTGACCTGCAAGATCGACCGAACTTCCATTGTCGCCACAACTTCTCCTGGCGATTGGAACTTAGGGCTATTCAGGTCTATTCTACTGGAAAGGAATTGAGTTATCATAATCATCTTATGGTATCCTGAGCATTACAGAAAAGCATACACGAACACAATATGCAAGAACAACCACGTAACCCCAGGATGCATGACAAAAAAAAACGAGGGAGCCGGGGTTCAAAGACACGCATGAATCCTCCCTGAAACACCGGAAACACAGCAACACCGAATCAGTGCAAAATCCCCTAGAATCACCCAAGAATCACCGGCAATGCTGTGCGAAGAACCACAATGATACACCCCCTACTGTTCGCTCCCATTCTTTTTGCCTTCTTCTCTCATTTTCTCCATGAAACTAATATAGTCGTACTTGGCCAACTCTCTGTCCTCGAGGAGATCAGGTCCATCGTGCGTTGGCATTGTCTTGACCAAATGCTCGATAACCTCATCTGGGATGAGTGAGTGTCGGAGATCAAGTTCCGTGACGTAAGGCTGTGATTAATGTTAGCAATGAAACAAAATATGTCGCATGTGCTACGTACCTTGCCATCGGCTACTTCCCTGAAACTCTGGAAGACCTGCTCGGCAGTGTTTTGATCCTCTGTCACGCTGACCATAAACCGAATGAACTGTTCAAAGCTCACTCCGGCATTTTGTGATAGACGGTTGGCCCCACACACCTCAACATACACCTGGTGCATCTCCTCTTCATCATAAACCAGACCCAGACTGGCCAATGCTGCGGAGAACTCGAGTTCCTGGAGAGTGTTGGAGGAATCGCGGTCGAAATGGCGGAATACCGACTCGAACTCCTCCAGCTGAATGGGTGTCAGGTTGGTCATGTTACGAGCAACCATCTGGTTATCAAGGAAAGCCAGCTTCTTTGAAATGCTGGACTTGACAAGACTGAGCTCATATGCAAGCTCGTCCAGCGTGTATGTAGTGAAATCATTTTCTTCGATGTTAGCCTCGGCACACTGCTCATCCAGCTCTGCAATAGTGTCGAGGAAAGCGTCAAGGGGTGGCAAGTTGTCGTTTAACCTCTTGACGTGATCTAGCTGGTCTTCAACGTCGCCATCCAGTCCAGATATAGCCAACGATAAGGTCTTCAAGGTCAACGCAAAGTCATTTGCTTTGTCGGCGAAAGAGCGGCGCAGCTGGTTCTTGATATCACGAATTGTCTCGTTAATAAGCTGACTGCGCTCATGCTCATCTCGAGTAAGAATCTCCCACTCCCTGTCGCAGTTTTCCGGACTCAACTCTTGAGGTGGGTCATAAGGGCGCAGTCGATATGTGCCTAGTTTGGTTTTGATGTTGCCTAGCAAAGCAGCTAGGTCGGATTTTTCAGCCACCCATTGGCGCTTCTCATTCCGCTTGTACAGGGAGAACTGGTGTGCCTGTTCCTTGGCGTCCTTGTAGGTTCCCTCGAAGGAGGCGGTCTTCCAGTGATCGCGCTGGCCGCGGATCAGTCGCAGCAATTCCTTTACCCGGCGCTCATATGAGTTCTGCATATCCCATGCACCATGCATATTGTTGACAAACTTCTCCACTCGTCGCCCAGCGTTCTCAACCCTCTCCAGCTGCGAAAAAGCATGGAACCAATAGGCGATATAGGTCATGAGGGAGCGTTCATCGGGTCTGGGCACGTCACACACATCGTCCACGTCGAGCAGGTCCGGAATACCGATTTCGTTGGATGCGATCTCGAAGGCCAGCTTCATATTCCCGCGGTGGTCGCTCTTATCAAGCGAGTCATAGTCGATCAGGTCCGGTCGGTGGATATCAAGGAGAGCGCAAAAGGCCAAGCCGTTGTTCCAGCTAGATGAGAAGTCGCGAACCTCCACATCATCGTAGCATGCCGTCTTCCGTTGACACCATAGCAGCAGACCCTCCTTCGCGGTCATGCCCTCCTCGTTGATGTCACTGATGGTGAATCGCAAAATCAGGGTCCAGATCAACCCCAGAATGATCTTCTGATTCCCATCCACAATATCCTCGGCTCCGATATTCGTCATCTGGATCCTCCTCCCCTTGATAAAATCGAGACTTTTGTTCACATTTTCGAATCTTTGTACGCGAAGTTTGGGTTTGGATGCATATCGACCTAGTGACTCCCCTCCAAGGATCTCGAGGAGGTGAATGAGAATGACCTAGAGGTTATGCGATCAGTGACTTGGCTTCGGGTGGGGGGACTCGAGGAACATACGCCATCGGAGAGATCAGTGACCAGGTCGTCAATGGCCAAACTCCGTGCCTTCAGCTTGTCATTCAGCCTAATCTGGGTCAGCCTTGCATGACAATGAGGGGTTGCGCAGTTACCATTTTGTGAAGGTCTTCTGCTGCACATTAATCCACTGCTTCTCGACCGTCAACATCTTTCACGAGACATTCAGGGCCGAATGGCAATTAGTGATAGTCTGGAGGTGACAGCGATCAGGGTTGAGGAGAGGACGATCAGGCTTGGTTTCCGATTTGGGCTGGAGATCAGATGGAGCACAAAGGGGGGTAATGTCGGGTGGGGTGCTGATTTCCGCACGTCGGAGTTGAAGAGTCACCCCAGCAACGCCTTTTTTTATCTATTGAACTCAACGTCGAGAATAGGAATGTAGAAGTTGAATTTCTAACAGGAAACGTTTTGACAATATTTGAAGATGCAATGCACCCCTTGCGACCCACTTTTTCTTCGGCGTCTAAGTATAGACGTCTATAATTACTCCCTTCTCATCTATTTTGTTGCTAGTCTGGCCTCCTTTTCTCTCCTTTTTGGCCTTTTGGTTGACTTGGCTAGATAAAAGAGGACATATGAAGAAGGTTCATAAGTGTTGATATCTACAAGAGCATGGTCCTCGACAGCCACTAAACTACAGGGATAAGCATAGGCTATGGGATCTCACGAGACCATGATCTGAGATCATCAGTAAAGTAAGGAGAGTCACTATAGGGCTTGGGCCCATAACTTACGGAACCACAGCCGAGGGTCTAGATTGGTACAACATCTGATTTCCCGATTCCACCAGGGGTATATTACAAGGTTGTTCTCTTACAATATTGTGAAGTTGTTGATCTGTCAGCAGGCTCCTCTGAGAGATTTGAGTAAGAGCTGTCTCTATGGGAGGTAGTATAGTAAGCCGGGTCTATTGTAGGGCTTGGTTGACCGAGATAGAGTGTCGAGATATCCATGATTCTTTGCTGCCAGTCTGACATTCAAACTTGGTGTGATCATATAGTTCTACCACCATGTGGGTATATTTTTGATCTGCCTACCAAGGTTCTTCTCTATCAACCCACACGCAAGTAGATATCCACCCAGAGGAATCCATGGATATGGACACTAACGCCAGAGGATGTTTGGCTTGTTCCTGCCAGGTACCTTTTAGGGGCTTTAGATATAAAACATGAGAACTGTGTACAATTATAGCGTGTAAACCGTTTCTCTGGCTTTGGCTGGTCATTCGGTTATGGAGATGGGCTTGTAACGAGTGAGCGCTAAACTATATATGTGTCAGACCAAGGGATTGACTCAAACAAGCCGAGCGACAAATCAGTCAGAAAAAGACTAGAAAAGTCCAATTATCAATAGGAAGCAAGAAAGGCCCCTAAAATGGCGCAATACAGAAAAGTCGACAAAATTCGCGATGGTGTTGGATCTTTTAGTCATCCCAGATGACCTCATTTCGCAAAGCGGGGCGATGAAGATTCCCTAACATATTATTCCCAGCTTCCAGCTCCAGACACACTTCCCTTTCGCAAATCACCTCTCTATTCAAAATGTCGGCCTCATTCAAGATCACCGACACGCTCCCCCTCCCCAACACGAGCGCGCGCATTCCCCGCCTCGGTTTCGGCGTCTACCGCTCGCCAACCGACGTCTGCGTGAAATCCTGCCTGAAGGCATTGGAAGCCGGATACCGACACATCGACACGGCGCAGTTTTACGCCAACGAGGCTGAAGTTGGAGAGGCTTTGCGCACTTCCACCGTGCCCCGGGAGCAGGTTTTCGTCACCACTAAGATCCTCAGCCCCGCTGCCTCGGTTGAGGCTACCTACGATAAACTGCTCGCTTCTGTGCACAAGATTAGTGGCGCGGATGGATATGTTGATTTGTTCTTGATCCACTCTTCCAGCTCGGGATCGGCCGGCCGCAAGCTTTTGTGGCAGGCGCTTGAGAAGCTGTTCTTTGAGGGGAAGACTAAGAGCATTGGTGTTAGTAACTTCGGTGTTGGGCACATCGAGGAAATGCGGTCATACGCTCAGGTCTGGCCGCCGCATGTGAATCAGATTGAGGTTCGTAAATTCGATGGCTGTCTAGGGTGATTTGTTGCTGTTGCTAATCTGTCTATTTTTGCAGCTCCACCCGTGGTCCCAGCAGCGTGTCATTGTTGAATACTGCCAGAAGAATGGCATTGTTGTCGAGGCCTACTCGCCCATCGTGCGGAACTACAAGGCCAATGACCCCACACTTGTGGATATCGCAAAGAAACACAACCGACCAACTCAGCAGATCTTGATCCGCTATGCGCTGCAGAAGGGATGGGTCCCCCTCCCGAAGACCGACAACCCAGAGCGAATTGTCGCCAACGCGAATGTGTTTGACTTTGACCTCAGCGCAGACGACATGTTTGTGTTGGATTCCCTGGACCAGGGCAGTGCAGGTGCCATCGTGGAGGCCGTTGACAACGAATGAGCAAGCTCCAAAGCACTGCCATTAACGACCCAAGCTCTTACGCAGACCGACAGGACCAATTGGTACCATGGACAGTCACTATGATCCATGTTCAATAATCTGGCGGCTGCATCAGGAAAGCATTGACAGACTGAAGTGTGGCTCGAGACGGATTCACGTCATGTTTCGACGACACGAGCCAGGCGAGACGCTGTCGAATGAACTGCTTGCCGATCGCGCGCTTGCTCAACGAGGCATCGAAGCCACCTATGAAGAAATGTAGTTAGCTGTTTATTCCCCTTCCATCCATCTAGCGCTTGAATTGAACCCCGGAGAACCATCCTCCTGGCCATTGCATACATACCATCATCATTGAAGAACAGGCAAATAATCGCCAGGAGTGTCCCCGCCGAAAGATCCTTCCCAGTCTCACAAACAACCAGTAAAGAAAGCGACGAGTCCAATCCAAGCCGCGCCCCAACAAACTCACGCACTTTATCCAACGACTTCCTTAGATCACGACTCCCCAACTTCCCAGACGCACATCCAAGATTAAGCCTCTTCCCATTCCCTTCTCCATCTCCCTCTCCCTCACCACCCAAACCCACATCCCCATTACAGTCAATAACAAGATCAAACCTCCCTTCAAAATCAACCCCAGCCCCAGCCTCTCCGATAAACAAATTTCGCGTAGGCGCAATACACGTAACCTCCAAACTCGCATTCCCCAACTTAAACTCACCAACCAGCCTTCCAATAACATCCGGCAAATCTTCCTCAGCAGTCCCCTTCAACACAGCATGATTAGCCCAGAAAACTGGCGGTGTCAGTCCATGCGCCCACCCCTCACTGTCATCGCCAGCACCTTGGATATAGCCGCCTTCGGACATCTCAGCGCCATGTACCCGCCTCGAGGCTGAACATAGCACTAGGAGGTTGTAGTCGCTGCTTTTTTGGAGGTCTGGTGGGTGGTAGTAGGATCTGTTGGCCCAGGCTATGCGGATTGGTTTGGAGAGATTTGTGCGGAGGGTTGGTAGGTCGAGTTTTAAGGACTGCGGTTGTTACTGTTAGTTATTTTTGTAGTCTTGTTTTTGTTCTTGTTCTTGTTTGTGTTTAAGGGTATTGCCAATTCTATGCTAGGTTCACTGTCGTCCTTGGATGAAGGCAAATAGTGAATAGTCAAGAGGGAGAAAAGAAATTGCAAGGGAAGTAAAAACATGCATGTGCATGTGCAGGTACATACCTTCAACGAATGAACAAATCCCTCAATCCGACTCTCAATCTGAGCTTCTTCCGAGGCACCGAGATAATTAGGCGGCAGTGCAACTGCATGGTATGCAGTCTCGGACGGGAATAGTGCCCGGTTCAGGACGGCACTCCAGATTGGGATGGTTTTTGATAGGGCGTCGGGCATTACTGGGTGGAATCATTTTCAGTGTCAGAATTGGGCCTTCCATGGTGTATGTGTGTGTGTATGCATGGTGACCATGACCCATTGGGGGGGAGCGCGGGGGGTGATGCAGTAATTGTTGGTTGGTTCGTTTCCTCTTTTTGCCCCGAGGGTTTCGCAGGGATTGGGTGGGATGGATTTACTTACGTTTGCCTCGGCGGGTTGAGTCGACTATTACACAGCTGTGGGATAGTAAGATATTGTCAGCTTGTCGTTCTTAGACAGGTCTTGTGTCGTGTTAGGGGCGGCTATAGTCCATCGTGTTGACTGTCCATGGAATGAACGTAATCCATGAACAGTATAAGCCAAAACCGAAAAGGATAGAATTGAATAAATACTAACCCCCCATGATCCCTGGCAAGCGGCAACAACTGCAGATTCAGCCTACGAAAGCTAAAATCCCACTGCCCAGTGTGTCCATCGGTGCTTTTAAAATAAGCACTACCAACCTTCGAAGCCGGCGGGATATACCAGCTCCCACAGCGTTCATTAGCAACAAGAGGAAGTCCATAGTGCTCGGCAACCTCATGCACAAAAGCGCCATCGTCCTCAATAGACTGAAGTCTGTTGGAAACGGACAGCGCCGATCGACGCAGTGACGAGAGCGTCTGGGAGATGGACTGCTGTGCCGACGGGAAATGTAGCGACTCCAGTGTCGGGAGAGTGTCCGAAGACCCCATGTTGTCCCTGGTGGTACTGGCACTGTACTTGGTGCACGGATGATGCCAAGTATATGGGATTCAAATGGATCTGGGGGTTGTACTCTGAAGTTGTACCGAGAGCGTTTCCACTTGGAATGCCCTGTGCAGATATTGGGATTTTGGCCAGCGCGTAAATTTTGCCGGTTGTTTGTGCTCAATTTCTTGGGGTGGTGGCTTTTTCCGAATCAATTGTGAAGGTTGTGGAAATGGTTGATGCGTTTGTGATTTGGGTTGGGCCAATCACAGTAGAATATAAGTGGAACTGGACTGCATGTAGTTCCTGTACATCGACTGTAGCTGAGTGGGATGCTTGCAAGGTTGGGATCGGTAGTTTTCGGCTTGGATGCGTGTACCCCACCTCACGACCTAATAACCATACACTGATAGTAGGTGAGATATTACCCTACATGAAGTGGTTATATCAACCCGACCACTAGCCCTGTGACATCTCTAGCTCGTTTCACGATGCTAGCATTTGGCCTATAATATAAGGTCGGGACTCTGTAGTCCTTGCCAAGCATCCTGCGTCCGAGTGCATACTTGATATTATCTGACTGTGCTTGTTTGACGGACAAAAAAGGGCCAACAGGCGGAATGTCGGGCCTTTACACATTTCCCTATATCCCTCATACACATTCCGGTTTTTACAAACTAGAGCTTCAAGTCCCTGTGAGAATCGAGACATGACCGTGCGGTCTGAGTTTGGGCCCAGTGGGCTGCATGTCCAATTACACTGGCTATGTCTGGTCCGTGGCCTACATCATGTTCAAAGGTGTTTTCGTCCGGTGAGTAGGTCGACGTAGATTGAAATAGAACGGGTCAGTTCCATATCAACGAGACCTTGGTAGTTAAGACACTTGCAACCATTTTGATACTTAACTATAGAAACATATGGAAAAGTCCGGGAAAATGCGTGAAACCAGTAGAAAAGAGGAATGCGCAAGCTAAACGGTATTTGGACTAGTGGCCCGCCGGGTTGACAATTATGTCCTCAGACTAATGTACTCGGTACTTGGTTATGTGTTGCGTCATGGACCAAACTGCAAGTACCCGGTACCCACGTCAGCCCCTCCCGCTCTGGCCCGGTTTCCCTCAATCGTCATGGGCTCTTGCTTTAAATACCGAGTCGCCAATTCCCTCCCTTGGCCATTTCTCTGCTCTGCATTCCGCTTTCTAGATTGTTTGACTCCATTGCGCATCTCGCATCCCTTCTATAAACCAGATCTACTCCCCGCTTTTCACCATGGCTAAGGTACGATCATCGCACCTGTCAAGACCCACCTACGCTAACCGGACTGCAGATTACAGAGATCTTCTTCGACTGCGACAATACCCTGGTCCTCTCCGAGGAGCTGGCGTTCGAGGCCTGCGCCGACATGGCCAATGAAATTCTGGAGGAGTACAACATCCCCGACCGCTACACCGGCGACATGCTCATTAAGGACTTTGTCGGCCAAAACTTCCGCGGCATGATGGGCTCCCTGCAGACCAAGTACGGGTTCCAGATTGAGCCGACAGAGCTGGAGCGATACGTCAAGAAGGAGGAGGACATGGTCATCGCCAAATTGGAAGCCAAGGCCAAGCCCTGCATCGGTGCTACTGAGGAGCTGGAGAAGCTGTTCGCGTCGAAGAAATACGGTTTCGCGGTTGTGTCCTCTTCTGCGCTGCGTCGCGTGCGCGCTTCCCTCAAGAAGGTCAACCAGGACAAGTTCTTTGACCACGACAAGGTCTTCAGCGCCGCCAGCTCTCTCGAGAAGCCGACTTCCAAGCCTGACCCCGCTATTTACCTGCATGCTCTTGAGAAGGTTGGCAAGAAAGCCGCCGAGACTGTTGCCATTGAGGATAGCAAGTCCGGGGCTCTTTCGGCGATTCGTGCTAATATTCCCGTCATTGCCTATGTCGGCAGCTACAATGGCGAAGAGATCCAGAAGGAGATGGCTGAGAGGTTGACTGCGCTCGGTGCAAAGGCTGTCATGTACCACTGGTCTGAGTTCGAGGACCGTCTCAAGGAAGTTGAGACTGGGTCTGTTGAGGTTCACTCGACCCTTTGATTGTTATGACACCCTTCCCACGCCCATGATTATGATAGCAAGCGTATGGTCGTTATGGAGCTTTGGTTTGTTTCTGCTACCCTTCATGTATTCTGGGTTCATGGGTCTTTTCGTCTATACTCCCAGGAGTATAGGTTCAATTTCCTGGCAAGAAGTCCGGGCCCAGTTTCCTTTGCCTGGTGCATTATTATTTAGTATTATTATCGCATAGATAGCCGTGGTGCGCAATGGTATCGATGTTTTAATTCTTCAATAGCAGTCATCGTAGCTAGTATGAGAGCCCTTAGCCCAGGAACTGGGCTATGGTCGTCTCCAACCTGAATATCTACTTAAATACACATGTACTTTAAGTTGGCAAAAGACAATACCATCCTACGATCAGACCAATAAACACAAATGCCCCAATAGTGCAGCATCGTTGGGAAGCAATGCATATATACTGCATATATACTGATAAGAAAGATAAGGGCTGTAACCCCACCATCCCCTCTCCAGACTCCGTAGAAACATTGGAGCATAGCATAAGACGAATACATCTTCGATCTCACCATTTCTACTCACACAATCATCATGACAATCCCCTCAGAAGCCAAGTCCCACCACATCTCCAGCGGTCCATTGGTAAGCTACCGTTCCTCCGAATCCCTCAGACATCACCCAAGTATACACGTCCAATTTATATCCAAACATAGTCCCAAGAAACATCCACTTAAGACGCAATACGACGCATTCTACTATTTTGATGCTTGACTAATGCCCCTTCCAGGATCCCAGCGAAGCCCGCTGGACTCGAATGGTCAAGATAACATACAGCGACCCCCTTGGAGTCGAACGAACATGGGAATCAGCTGAGCGTACGGTAAGATTCATCTTTTACTTGGCCCTGTTTGCTTTCCGTTTGCCTTCTTGTTTGCCGTGGCTGGGGGTATATGTGCATGCATGACACCCAAAGCAGGGGTGTTGACCTTTCCACCTCTCGAGGCTGCCATGATATAGATTTGTTTGCATGACAGATCCCAGGCCCTGCCCCAGCATGGATTATGAATGGTTGCTTTGAGTGGTCAGCACTGACATGCGCCCTCAACTTTGTAAATGCATACACCAGGGCGCTATCCGGGTCAGCTGTATCCATCACAACTGGAATCATTGGTTGCCTGATATTGTAAAGCTATGCATCAATCATGTTGTCATTCCAGCTGTCAAGCAGCAAGCCCTATACCAAAGCAACCAATAAAAAAAGAAACACACACTACTAACCCCCAACCCACTTCCTTGGTCCAATGCTAACCACATTCCATACACGCAGACCCGCCCTGCCGGCGTAGAACTCGACGGCGTCGGTATTGTCACAATCCTGAACAAAGAAACCGGCCCAGAATTACTTCTGCAAAAGCAATACAGACCCCCGATCGACAAGGTCGTCATTGAAGTTCCGGCTGGTCTTATCGATGCAGGCGAGACGCCTGAGCAGTGTGCCGTTCGGGAGCTCCTTGAGGAGACGGGGTATGTTGGTGTGGCGGAGGAGATTAGTCCTGTGATGTATAACGGTATTATATCCCCTTTCCTTTTTTCTTGTGTTTGCCTTCCAAGGTTTTCTTGGTGTGTTTTTATTTGGCATGTTATCATGGAATACCTGTACCTGACATCATCTTAGATCCCGGACTATGCAACACAAACTTGCACATGGTCCACGTCCGCGTCGACATGTCTCTGCCTGAGAACCAGAATCCCAAGCCTCAGCTTGAGGACAACGAGTTTATTGAGTGTTTTACTGTTCCGCTCAGCTCGTTGTTTGAGGAGATGAAGAGACTTGAGAAGGAGGGGTATGCCATTGATGCCCGGGTTGGAACGCTCGCCGAGGGAATTGAATTGGCGAAGAAGTGGAAATTCTAGGGTGATAATTGCATGATGTCTTGGTCTCAACTTGGCCACCAGTTATCAAGCCAGACGTCTACCAATACATACAATCCACAACGATGTCCACATCTACAAACCAACGCACCGAATGACAAGAAACCCCCAACTAAATCTTCCCCTCCCCCTTCAATCCTTGATAGAGCGCCCAAGCAGCCAAAGTCTTTCCATCCCTAATTCCCTCCTTCCACAAATCCCCAAGCTCAACAACCTTAAGCGTAATCTTCTCCCCCTTCCCCCGTAATCCAGTCAACTTCCCCTGCAACGCCTCAATCTCCGCAAGAGGCATCTGCTTCTGACACAAAAACAACGGAATAAACTCATCACTGCCCCCAGGAGAAGGATAAACAGCGCGCTGCAGCCGTTCCCCGTAATCGGGTTCTTGGCCCGCCTGCAAAGCTAGCGCTGTCATGTCAATTAGCTCGCTCTGCTCGACTAGGAGACCGGTTTCTTCTTGGATTTCTTTTGCCGCGCTGCCGGCGAAGGTCCCGCTGTCGTCTAGCATTCCTGCCGGGATTTCCGGGAAGGAGAGGGATCCTGCTGGGATTCGGGGTTGGATTGTTAGGATTGTTTTTTTGCCTTTGTCGGAGGTTGAGGTGGTCGGGATGTCATTTGGTTGGAGGATTAGCTGTTTATGAGTTAGAGTATGTATCAATATAAATGTTTCTTGGGCCTAGATGGATCATGCATGTGTGTATCTCGGGTTGACTCACCAACATGCCAACACTCCCACCCCGCAAAAATACACTGCCTGGCAAAGTCTCGCCTTGGCCATTTGATACGTCGGCCTTTAATTTGACGAATCCTAGCCGGTTCCCGCCGAACCGGTCGACAGCTTGGATGTCGATTTTACGGAGCACATATGGGTCATCGTGGAATTCGTGCGATGGGTGTTGTTGCCGGGCTAGGGATTGTTGGAGTGTCGCGACCCAGATTTTGAAGGCTGGGAATGAGAGTAAGTCTTTCTGGCTTAGATCTGGGATGCTGTTGACGCGTAGGTCTGTGTCTGGGATT